TTTTACTTATGTTTCATAGATTTCGGATGTGAAATGTAATGATTTATGTTAATTTGTGGTATTTTTATGTATAGGAATCATCCGGAGATAATATGGGACGAAGGTGCGAGATTGGAGGCAAAAAGGAGCGAAATGGGAAAAAGGCCACAGAGTAGCGCCCAAGCTAGCGTAGGGCGCTACCTGTGGCGCAGAAGGCAGAATGCTAAAAAGTTCCAGTGCCAGGGCTAGCTCCCCACGCTACATTGGGTGTTGGTGATAGGAAAGTTCTCCTTGTTCGCTCGGAAAAAGGTTATTTCGGTCGAAGACCTCCCCCCCCAAACTCCTAGTTGGGGTTTGGTTCCAATCCAAGCCTGCCGCTCGTCGTGTTAAATTGTAGTTTTGTTGGTGACATTTGTGCACTTGTTATTGTGTAGATTGATTGGTGTTGTTGGGATATTGGGTGTGTTATGGTGCTGAAGGTATATAGTTGAAGGTTGTATGTGTTCTTGTTGTTCTGATGGACTTGGGGAAAGCAAGGAAAACAAGGGAGATGTTGTCCGTTTTAATGTAAAATAAGCTTGTCATTCGTTGTACGATAGTTGCATCATTCATAGCTTAACGATAGTATTATTGTCGTTGTTGTAGCTTAAATTGAAACAACACAAGTTCAACGTGGTCAATGGACAGACTATGATAAGGTATGTTAAGGCACTTCATTCTTTCTTTTGGAATGATCTAAAGTGAAATGAACGTAAACGATACAATATTTCATAACGGATCTATTCCTGGAAACTAAGGTTGTCCATGTTGTTGTTTCCTTATAAAGTTATTCTAAGCATGTATGTATGATGCTTGAATTCTATTGAGGTTCATATTGATGGTATGATGTCAATAACGTTAATCGAAGGTGCAACGACCTTACGTCACTCCGAAAGGCTTAGAATGTGATTCTATGAGTCCTACATGCATTATATATATGTATCTGCTTTACTCTACCGAGCCGCGCTCTAGTCGGTCGGGTACGACGCCTATTGCAAAACTACTGATCAGTTGGGTTTAACCGAGCTCCACATTGCCGGGTACGATTCTACCGAGCCTTATGATGGTCGGGTACACTTTTACCGAGGCCTGTTTGAGGCCGGGTATGATATGATGATGATGATGCCCACAGGGGCGAATGTTTTTAAAAGATTCTGTATATATGTATCATGTATTTCATGTCAGTAGCCCTCAAAGGTACTCATATGTTACAAGTTGTATCTTCTCTATCTCTCTTTACATTATTATTCTTATTTATGCTTTTCAGGCTTACATACTCGGTACTTTATTCGTACTGACATCCTTTTTTTCTAAGGATGCTGTGTTTCATGTCTGCAAGTCCCGGTAGACAGGTTGGCAGTCCTTTTAGTAGGCTAATAGCTCAGCGGAAGGTGTTTGTGTACTCCACTTGCTCCGGAGTTGCCTATTTGGTCAGTATGTTTGGACGTGTATTGATTGGTACGGCGGGGCGCTATCTCGACCTTTATGATGTTTATGTACTCCTAGAGGCTTGTAGATATATGTCATGTATAAGTATGCTTGGATGGCCTTATCGGCATATGTTTCGAGCGTACAAATGATCATATCGTCCATATAGGCCCGTATGTCACATGTATAAGTTTGTATATCATATTGGGTCGTCCTATGTCTAGTATTCCCTTATGTTTTAGTTTGGTTTATCTAATGATGAAATTTCCGACTCATTTACCCATGATAGTATGACAAAAAAGATACGTTACGTTGGTAGTCAGTTGGGTAAGGCACCAGGTGCCCGTCGCGGTCCATCGGTTTGGATCGTGACAAAACTTCTCAACTTTCCAGACCGTCAATTGTCCAACTTTCGCCATTCAAACCAAAATGACCTACGGACCTCCAAACAAAATCCGGACATACTCCTAAGTCCAAAATCACCATACGAAGATATCGTTACCATCAAAACTCCATTCCGGAGTTGTTTACTCATAAGTCAACATCCGATCAACTCTTCCAACTTAGGCTTCCAACCTTGGAACTAAGTGTCCTAATTCAATCCGAAACATCCGCGGAACTAAACCAACCACCTCAGAAAGTCACACAACTATAATTGAACATAGAATAAGTAATAAATGGGGGGAAATATTCTACAATACTCAAAATAACCGGTCGGGTCGTTACAATTTTGTGTAGATCCAGGCGTTGGTAGCAACAAACTTTAGAAGTGGCCTTGTCGCTGGTAGAGGCGATCCATGGAAGTGCTGCATGTTTGCTCGCAGACCCTTGGAGTCTCCTTCCTCTATCTTTCATAATGTTATTTATACATTCAAACAGTATTGCATTATTGAGAGAATTCACTTATATTTGGTTTTAAAGCTCATGACTTCGTACTACAAGTTTCTTGGGGATTTATGTTGCAGTACCTTATGCTATCTTTTGTTGAGTATCTCTCTGCTATTTATGATATTTCAGTTAAACTATATCTCATTTTGCTTAATTTTATTTATGTTATATGTTGGCTTACCTAGTCTCGGAGGTAAGGTGCCATCACGACCATTAGTTGGATTTTGGGTCGTGACAAGTTGGTACCAGAGCTCTCGGTTCATAGGTTCTACGGATCATGAGCATGTCTAGTAGAGTCTTGTGGATCGGTACGGATACGTCTCTACTTATCTTCGAGAGGATATTTGAACCTTTATCTTTCTATGATGTTTTCCTAGGTCGGAGCCGCGAGAGGCCGGGGCGGGGCAGAGGTAGAGGTAGGGCACGAGCCACAGCTAAGGATCATGCTAAAGCAGCTACTGTAGAGCCACCAGTAACTCATGTTGAGGAGTAGGTTTGTGATCATATTAAGGTGGTGGGACCAGCTCAGGCTCCAGAGGGATCTAATGTTAGACCAGGACTCTAGGAGACTTTGACTCATATTTTGAGCGTGTTCGAGGGTTTGACTTAGGTGGGTATGATCCCTGTTTCTCGAGCTACTTCATAGGCTCGGGTTGAGCCCAAACTCCCGCTGCATATACACTAGAGCAGCTGGCTCGTGGTTACCAGACATTGAAAGTCCTACTGCTGTAGCTAGTTATTGCAGTTCAGCCCAAGATTAGACCAGCCTTGACTGTTGATGAATAGAAGAGGATGGAGAGATTTTAGAGACTTCATCATCCCCACTTTAGTGGAGAGCACATTGATGATGCACAAGGTTTTCCTTATCAATGTCACTGCGTTCTATGTAATTTCTGTTTTTTGGACTTGAACGTAGTAGATTTTGATACTTTTAAGCTGACAGGGCCATCCTACTGATGGTGGAAAACTTATGAGTTGAGTAGGCTAGCTGGCACCACTCACATGGTCTCGGTTCTCAGTTCTCTTCTTGGAGAAGTTTACTCCAAATACTCGTAGAGATGAGGTGTATAGCCAGTTTGAGCACTTGCAACATGAGTGTATGACTATTACCTAGTACGAGATGAGGTTCACAGAGTTGTTGCGCTATGCAGCTTTTCTAATTCCTACAGAGAAGGAGAGGATCGGTAGATTTGTTGAGGGACTCAGCTATAGTCTTAGGTTTAGATGACACGAGATGTTGAGACTTAAACTACCTTTAACTAGGATGTCGAGACTGTCAGGAGGTTGGAGCGTATCCGCACATAGAAGAATGAGGATATAGTGACCAAAGGAGTTTGAAATGGTTTTTTCATAAAATTATGTAAGGGGGACTACATATTGATAATGCTTGATAAGCATTGGAGTCATCAAGTGGTTACTATATATACATATATATTGTATGGCTTTCTAAAATAAATATTTTTCTTTCTTGGAGTATTTTGCCTGAGATTATGACATAAAATAAGAAAAAAAATTTATGGATAATGCGATAGATAATCGAAATTAGAGAGTTCTAGAAACAATAATCATTATAAATTTTAATGAAAATCTTAAAAAGAAAAATAAAAGGTATGTATAAGAGGATATATCACGTACATTTGGGGGGGGGGGGGGGGTTTCAAATTATGTTTATTTAGTATATTATACATATGGATTTTGGGTCGGGTCAGTAGGGATCAGGAGAGGTCGGTCCTCTTTTAGTTGGGTTAACTTTTCTTAGATCGAAAACAAAAAATAGAAAATGTGGAGTAAAAATATTATATGGAAAGTTAGTTTTCCGGCAATTGTGACCTTTGTAGGTAAAAGTCTTGTGATTTTTGTGTTAGAAAACATAGTTAAATGACTTTTGTGGAAAAAGAAAATCATAGTTATATGACCATTTGTGAATTTTACACTATCTTTATGTTTCCTACTATTTTGTGCTTCTGTCATCAAATTGAGAAAACTCTTTAATATATACTACATGGTGAGATATGGTACGCTATTATGAATATATAGTGCTTACCCTTTAATGATCAAATTTTTTCTTAATTATAAAGTAAACTTTGAGATTGATGGCACTTGCATTGTTTAATGCACATTCACGAGTTTGTGATACTTTTAACGTTGTTAAACAGTATGGTGAGTACACATTTGCAGTATAATTAAACAAATTACTATTTTTTTAAATAAGGTATGTAACAATATATTTTAAGAAATTACTTAAATGGCACAAGATTTGATTACTGCTAGAAAGAATGTCATGTAGCAATTACCTTGTGTTTCATAATATAGCTCATAAAAGGTATTATTTTTATTACACTATTAAATTTGTTGCTAAACTGATATGCAAATTTCATAATTTTTCTACCATAAAAGGAAAATACATAAAAGATTGTATAGTTTAAACTGGGATAATATTTATGTTTCGACATATACAACCAAACTATTACACCCCAGTTTCCAATTATATAAACTTATTTTATATGTTACCATGTCTTGATATCATAGATAGATTTTCTCTATCGTAAAAGTAGGTCACTGAAAATATATATAGTTACCCTCCCAAGCCTCCATATATACTTTATTTCATACCTTTGAACTTTCCCAATTGCAATAGAAAGTGTATTTTATCTCTTCCTTAAAGAATGGCTAGGAAGAAAATCAAGATAGCTAGGTTGGTTGATGAGTGTAGAAGATCAGTTGTTCTTAAAGAAAGGCTTGAAGCTTTGTTTAAGAAAGCAGATGAGCTATCTGTTCTATGTGGCGTAGAAATTGGTATTGTTGTTTTCAGTCCTGATAAGAAAAATGATGAATATGAGTGGCCATCAAGAGACAAATTTAAACAACTCTTGATGAGGTTTCTAGATACACCACCGGTAGAGAGGCTTAAGAAGTTGACAACAAATGAAATGTTCCTCAGGAAAGAGATGGAGAAGACTGTAAGAAAAATTGATCAGCAAAAGATAGAAGAAAAAGAAATGGAACAGCTATTTAAGCAGTTATATTTTGGGGAAAAGACGGTCTTTGAACTGGATAAAAGACAACTTATAGGCGTTCGCAACTTGGCTATAAAGGTGAAGGAGAATGCCGTTGAAAGGAGAATACAACTCAAGTTACAAGATCAGCGTCTTTTGGTACCAATTGATCCCGTACCACTTCGAGTGGCTCCACTGAATATAGAAGATCGACGTCAACTTATTCTGTTACCAATGTGTTTACCCTCGAATCCGGATAACAATTGAATTTATATGGGGTTTTAAGGATCCGTGAACTAAAAGATACAAAAGGTTTTTAGGTTAAGGAAAATAAAGATAAAGACTCAACAATTGCTGTTAAAGTAAATAATCGCAGAATATAATATTGCTTAGAACAATTGTGCTTGATGATCCACAAGAATTTAGAGAGATCCCCTTTTATACATTCTGATTAAGGGTAAAAATAAGGTAGGTCAATTGATTACATCGTGGATCCCTGTAATTACGCCTTAATGGCCTGAAGTGGTTGAGAAAATCACGTTTGGGCGAGATATCCGGCGACGCTTGGTTATCCGTTACGAGTCCGGCTTCCAACCTTGTGTGTTTCTCCATCCGGTGGTGACTCCTATCGAGCTCTGTAACGGTCTCGAAATGACTCGACCTCGGTTGTAGACGTGGCCGTCGTTCTACCTTGCATCCAGGTCGGGTTCGATGGCCCCGATTTGCTCCGGACCGGACCCAACCCGGTCGGGCTCAAGCAAAAAAGGGTATCACCTAATACAGATAGTCCCCTCGTTTATTAGAGAGTAATGATAATAAACGATATGACCGGTGACGTGATGCCCGTGACGTATGGCCATACGCCAGGTGAAAAAGCCATCGAGTGCTCTGACCACGCCTGCTGCAGGCATTTAATGCTTCTCTTAATTATCTGTCGCTTCGTGTCTGTGGCTTCGCGATTCGTGCCACCGCCTCATGGAAAAAGTATAAACGACCCTTCCAGGTTCAACATTTCCTATCTTTCTCAAATTCTGCGTTGGTTGTATTTTCTTTTCATCTCTTCGTAAAGCTTTAAGAAATGGCGAAAACTTCACAAAGTGTTCCTTCTAGACCAAGCTCGGCCGCGAGCCCCGCTAGATCTGATGAACATGCACCAGAACCCCCATTGAAAGCATTCACACCGACTGGTTGCTCGGTATCTGCCGACTTCCAGGTTGAAAACCCATCATCGGTCCCGGGCCGCGGCGAACCGGCATCGGAGTATATTAGTCTAATCACTCCCGGTTGCCTAGACCGGGTGAGGGCTGAATGTAGATGGGAAGGGAAAGACCTGGTCGCCCCTTCCCGTGACGAGTCGATTATGACTCACGTTGAAGGATATCTTAGTGTATATACATATCCCTTCACCTTAGGCCCCTTAGAACCCATCATAGTGGAGTTCTGCCGGCGGTACGAGGTGACCTTAGGTCAGATCCACCCCTCGATGTGGCGGATCGTATATCTCTTTCGGTTTTTTGTTGAGAGAGTCGAGGGCGATTTCCCCTTTACCCTCGACCATCTTCTTCGACTATACAGCCCCCGAATATTTCGAGGGGGATTAATAAAACTGGCCCGCCGGGCTAGCAAACCCCCATTCTCCAGCATCGATGAAGACAAAGATCGAGGCTGGATGAGCAGGTTTGTCCGGATCAGGACGTCCGACCTGATTCCGGCCGATTGCATGCCATTTCCGGAGAGGTGGAACCTCAAACGTAAGTATTTTCTCACTGTTCATCTTTTAGAGCGTGTTTTCCTCAACTTCTTCCTGAAACCCCCTTTTCTTGTGCAGCGGTGACCCAAACTCCAGCTGCCGTCAAGGATCTGGCCGGCTGGGTAAACAAGATAGTGGCCCAGCGGCCATATTCGGAGCGAAACTGGAAGGAAATCTCCAAAGGTCGGTGGGAGGCGAAAAACCATGGTAAGCCTTCTTTTTGACCGGTAGCGCATTTTTTCCTGTATATCGGGAATGCATCATAACCCTCGTGTTTTGCAGGCTTGCCCAAGGACGCGGAGATGAGGTCTTCAATACTATGCCCCCTTCCGGTTCCGGGAGAAAATAAAAGGCCCGGGGAGTCCGGTACGGACGAGCCCCAAAGGAAGATTAAGCGGACAAAAAGGGCCGCCCGCAAACTAAAAAGCCAAATCGTCTTGTCCTCCGAGGAGGAGGACGACAAAGAGGATGACGATGAGGAGCAGCCGGAGCTCGTCCGCCATCGGTCCATTCGACCGGACCCTGAGCCGGTGGTCCATCCAGTTGAGGCTCCTCTCGAGGACGTGAGGGTTGAGGATGCTAGTGAACCCTCGGCCCCTGCGCGGGCATCCCCGGGTACCGATCACCCGGTTACGTCCCCTCCATCTTCCTCGACTTGGGGGCAGCTGCCGGACGACATCCCGATGATGGGAGGTAGCTTCGAGACCTTTTTTGATGGGGTACCCTCCGCCAACACTTTCGGGCTCGAAATCCCCCGGAAAGACCTTCAGGCCGAATCAAGTGGGACTTCGGCCGTCAACAAGCTTGTTGATAGGTTTCCAGCTCCGAGCCTGGACCCGGACTGTAACAGGATAGTAACTTTTGCTATCCCCAAAGACGTCCGGGCTCTGGGGCCCCCGGTCGGGGTTGCAAGCTATCTTCATCACCTGATGACGGAGGAAGACCGGGCTGCAACCGAGGCTGTAGATTGGACATGCCTTTTCAACGAAGCCCAACAGGCGCAGCTCAAGGTACTTGCTTCTTCCTTTATTTCTAATATTTTTGCCTTGTGATTCAGTACTGACTCTTTAGACTTTTTCTTTGCAGGCATCGGTGCTATATCACTCGATGTTCCTCCGGATCAAGGACAAAATGGAGACGGAGCGAGAGGGGCGCCGGGTCCTTGAAGAAAAGCTGCTAGAAAGCCGGACCGGATTGGACCTTTTGAACAAAGAGCACGCGTCCTGTGCTATCCGGCTGGAGGAAGCGAAGAAAGAGCTTGGTTATAAGCTAAGGGGGGTGCAAGCCGAGCTTAATCGGGTTAAGGCCGAGCTTGACGAGAGCAGAGCCGAACTTAATGAGAACAAAGCCGAACTGGAAGCCCGGGTGCAACAGTTGGAGTCGGAGAAGACTTCCCTTCGGGAAGAGGTTGCGGACTTGACGTTGGCCAATGAGGCTCGAGTCCTTGAAATTGAGCTATGGACCAATCGATTTCGGGAAGCTGAGGCTAAAGTTTCTCAGGCCGAGGAGACTGCCAACGATATGGTGGCTCAATATAGGGCTGATGCTGATGCGGCCAACCAGCAGTCAAGAATGTTAGCCGAATATGCGAAGTGTCAGGCCCGGCTTGAAGTTCTTACTGAACTCCAACGTCGCGGTTTCGATCTTGCATCGGACGTCGCCAAAGCCGCCGAAGCTGAGGACGCTTCGAGAAGGGCGACGTTCCCCGAAGAATTCGAGGATGGCTCCGATTGACTCCGGGAATAGGCTAGGCTTTGTTTTGTTTTTTTTTTCCCCTCTTATGTAATTGCTCCGGTAGCGAGCTTTTTTATGCAACACTGCCCTTTGCCATTTATTGCTCCTTTTTCAATCTTGTTATTACTTTGCCTTTTATCTTTTTGGAACGATGGTAGTCCTTTATGCTTTTCGAAATAGTCTCCGAGTGAATGTATTCGAACTCAGGTGAACTTCGACCTTTGGGTTTTCTCAAGGCAGTCCCCGAGTGAGTTGATTCGAGCTCGGGTGAAGTCTAACCCTTAGGTTTCTTCGAAGCAGTCCCCGAGTGAGTGGGTTCGAGCTCGGGTGAAGTCTAACCCTTAGGTTTCTTCGAAGCAGTCCCCGAGTGAGTGGGTTCGAGCTCGGGCACAATTTGACCTTCAGGTTTTGTATCGATTTTACGCCTTTTTCTTAAGGTCTTACAAGTTCGAGTATACTTCGCCTTTTAGTGAAGTCGATGATGAAGCCGGTATTACCTCTTTTTGAGATTTTATGAATTTGGACCCGCCTTCTCGAGGACTTATGGTCAAAATAATGCCTTATCCAGGCCTTACGAATTTCGAACTCACCTCTGAGGTCTTTCAGTTTTATGTGTCGCCTTATCAAGGTCTTATGAGCTTGGACTTGCCTTCTTGAGGTCTTATAGTTTAAGCGTTGCCTCATTGAGGTTTTATGAGCCTAAAGCAGGTCTTATGTGATCGAATATGAGATCGAATATGCCTCGAGGAGGTCTTATGTTCGAATGTGCCTCGAGGAGGTCTTATGTTCAGATGTGCCTCGAGGAGGTCTTATGTTCGAATGTGCCTCGAGGAGGTCTTATGTTCGAATGTGCCTCTAAGAGGTCTTATGTTCGAATGTGCCTCGAGGAGGTCTTATGTTCGAATGTGCCTCTAGGAGGTCTTATGTTCGAATGTGCCTCGAGGAGGTCTTATGTTCAGATGTGCCTCGAGGAGGTCTTATGTTCGAATGTGCCTCGAGGAGGTCTTATGTTCGAATGTGCCTCTAGGAGGTCTTATGTGATCGGACTTGAGAGCATACCGAAGAGTCGAACAAAATCTTTTAGGTTATGATGTGAATATGCATCAGATAGTCTTTGCCATTGCAGTAATAGTTAATACATCATACTGATCCGAGCGGATTAGGTCAGGT